TACGGGCAGCTGTGAGCTACCTGGTGTGATTCCATTCTCCCTCCAAGGTACCCCTGAATCCCAGCCACACAAACTGTCTTTTTCTTCCACAAACATGCTCTTTCTTACTTCAGGCCTCTTCGGTTAGCATCCTTGTTTCATAGAGTGAGTGTTCTCTGATCCTTCGATACTACTGTCTTTAAAATGCTCTCTGTGGCGGCTCTCCTAAGGGACACCTTTCTTTCATACTTTAGCACGTTGGCCATTTCCTTCATAGTGCACACCGGGACTTTGCTTCTTCATCTATGTCTTTATCTCTTTTGCTAGCTAAGGCAAGCAAAGCAAACATGTTTACTTACTAGCCTCCCGGGGACATCATGGACCAAGGCCATCTAGTATGCCATCAACTGAGACTAAAGCTCAAAGGTTTTAGATACAGTGTTTTAGAAATTACTTGAATATTACAAATAAATGAAAGGATGGGCATAGTGTCACAGGCCTTTAACCCCAGCACACAGAGGGCCAGAGGATCAGCTGGAGGCCATTCTTGGCAACATAGCAACACACTAGTCCAAACTACCGGAGACACTGCTAAACAAACAACACAAAGAGAATAAATAAAGTGATGGATTTGGGCAAGAGAAAGTTTACTTGAAGAAGAAACAGACTAGAATGGAATCTTCAAGAGCCCTCCAAGTAAAGGACTACAAGAAAAGCTGCAAAGGAAACTGAAAAGGAAGTATCCTGAGATGAGGAAAGGTGGGTATGGCGTGAGAGAGGCTGAGAGAAGGGCATCTTTCAAGGAGGGCACCATCGGTAGAAAATCCAGAGCTGTGGGGCAAGCTGAGGGTACCCTAGTTTACCAACAGGACTCAGTGGCCACAGTACAGGTAGTTTCAGCTTGACTGTCAGTCACTGAATCCACTAGGAACATTGACAGTTGAGAAAGTCAAAAGTCTGGCTGTGAAGCGAGGTGCAGAGAACAGTAGCTGAAGTGCACGGGAGCAACCTTATGTTGGGAAACAGGAAAAACCTGTTAACAGACCCTGCTAACTGGAAGAATCCACTACAGACTGAACAGCTGGATAAGCAGGAGAGGAGTTTGTTGATGACAATAGTCCTTAGAAGATGAGGGAGGCTTTGATCCAGAGCACTGGTATGAAGAACTGTTTGGGAAAAGAGAACCCTTTCTCTAATCCGGAAACAGAAGGGGAAATTAGAGGTGCTAACGCATGCCTATAATCCATGCCCTGGGAAGGTGGTGGCAGAGGGCTCAAAAGTTCCAAATCATTGTTGGCTGTGTAAGGAGTTCAACGCCTGTCCAGGATACAAATAAATGAGATCCTCTCTCCAAAGGAAAATCAGAAAGGAAACAAAGGAGAGGAGGACCGGATGTGCATGAGTGTGTGCGGTTTGGTGGTAAGGAAGTGAAAGAGCGTTTTCCCTCTAAGTGATTACAAGTAAAGGGTGGCTGTCACAGGTGAGCTGAGGTAGGAGCTCAGGCAGCCCTGGTCACCTAGAACCATGCTGAGGCCAAGATGGATTTGAACTCCTGATCTTTCTGCTTCTACTTCTGGAGTGCTGAGGTTACAGGTCTGTGTGCTACTACCCTGGTTCAAGGTGGTGCCAGGAATCAACCCCAGGGCCGCTGGTATGCTAGGCCAGCACTCTGTCACTGATACACAACCATAGTACTAGATGTTACAGTTGACATTTGAGAAGATGGCATTTGGCAGCTGCCCCAGACAAAAAGAAAAGGCTCGGTAAGGAGATGGGGCGGCCGCTGTTGTACTGTGTGCTTGAGTTGTTTCTGGCAGCTGGACACCGCAGGCACAGGTGTGACTGCTCGGGTGGTCTTGGGCTTGAACACAGTTTTTCCAGGTCTTCGCTGTGGGCAACACTAAGACCTTGTCTTGCAGCTAGGTATGGCAATGTTATGTTAGCAGTGCTCTAAGATTAGGAGTTCGTTTTGTTTTGTAATGCTGGGGAGAAAGTCCCAATGCCTCATGCGTGCAAGGCAAGCTCTCATGGCAGACAAGTTTGGCTAGAACATCTTTATTATAGAAACAGTTAAAATGATTGATGGACCTCATGCAAGGTATTTGTAGCCCTGTCAGGCAAGAATCAGTTTATAGCTATAACCTTTACGTCTGAGTAAATTTGTCCTGAGACCGTCCAGAGCATGGGCCGTAACGTCAGCCAGCCCCTGTGTTTTCCATCTTTATTTGCTAACGTGCCTACTACCCTAGTTTGGTTTCCGTCTTAGTGACTCTTCTGTTGCCGTGAGGAAACATCATGACCAGGATAATTTAGGGAAGAAAAGTTCATTGTGGCTCACAGTGCAACAGGCTTAGAGTCCATGGCCACCGTGACAGGGAGCATGGTGGCAGGCCGGCAGCCATAGTGCTGGAGCATCAGCCAAGGGCGCTTGTGTCTGGCCACAAACATGAGACAGAGAGAGAGCTAACTGGACTAGAGGGCATTTGGAACCTCAGTGACACTCCTCCTCCAGCAAGGCCACATGCCTTAACTGTTCCCAACCAGTCCCACTGAGTGGGACCAGAGTACTCTAAGGTACGAGCCTTCAGGGAGCCATTCTCCTGCAAACTGCCCTGGTTTCTGTGGGTAAAAGTGACTAAAGCCAGCGGGAGAAGGAAAGGGTTTATTTGGCTCCCAGGTTATACTTGATCATCGCTGAGGAAGGCCAAGGCCGCAAACTTGAGACAGGAACCTAGAGAGGAGCTGAAGCCGAAACCATGGAGGGTGCTGCTTGTTACCTGTTACTTCTGCCTGTTCACATGCTTCCCTCACACAGCTCAAGTCCACCTGCCCAGGGGTGGCAGCGGGCCAAGCTGACGGCTTCTTGCGGGCGTTTTCTTTCTCCCGGGCTTCTAGTTTGTTTCAGGTTGACAGACTCAGAGCAGCACAGTTGACCTCTCGTCAGCTTAACACACACCACTGTCCAATCACAGCCTTTTCATTTGTCCCCCCAAAGCTCCTGTGAATGTCATAATATAAAACACAATACAACTTGCAAAGTTCAGTAGTCTGTAAATTTTTCAACACTCTAAAAATTCAACATCTTTAAAAATGTCAGTATTTCAACTGTGTGGCTCCTGTAGAAGCTAATATAAGTTACATACTTTGTAATTCCAAGAGAGAAAAGTAGAATCAGGGCAGTTAGAATAGAACCAAAGCAAAACCAACATCTAACAATATAAACAACCCCCCCCCCCCCAGTTCACTGTTGAACTCACCCACAGAGCTTGGGCGGCTTCGCGGGGCTTGGCTGGGGGCTCAGACCGGCAGCACCGCTGTCCAAGCTGGGTCTCCACAGCAGCTAATGCTGGGACTGGGCAAATGTTGGTGGTTAAGAGCGCTGGCTCCTCTTGCAGAGGACCCGGATGCCTGCCGTTCCTAACCCCCACGTGGTGGTTTGCAAGCATCTCTCACTCCAGGGTGGTCAGTGCTGCTTCTGACCTCCGTGGGCACCCGGGGTGCACATGGTGCACAGACATAACGCAGGCAAGACAGCATACACATAAATGCCTCCAAAAACACTTTTAAAAGAAAACGTGTTAAGTATATAGTGCTATTGACTATAGCTATGAGCTTAATGAGTCTGTATATATATATTAAATAAGATGTCTTTAAACAGAAATACCCATGGAGCCAGGAGTGCGTCAGGTGACAGTACATAGAAGCCTAGCATGCCCAACACGCTTGTTGAGTCTCCACCACAGAAACACACACAATCCCCCAACAACCAGAAGTTTCTTACTCCCAGAATAACCACATGTGCCTGACTCTGTTTTTCCTAGAAGCAATTTTTCATTATTGTGAAATTTAGTGTTCATGCCAGGTTTTTTGGTTTTTTTTTTTTTTTTTTTTTTTTTTTTTCATTTCTGGTTTTTTGGTTTTTTTTTTTTTTTTTTTTTTTTTGAAAGGTTTCCCTGTGTAGCCCTGGCTGTCCTGGAACTCACTCTGTAGACCAGGCTGGCCTTGAACTCAGAGCTCCTCCTGCCTCGGCCTCCTGAGTGCTGGGATTAGTGGTTGTGTCACCACTGCCCAGCTGCTCCTGTCAGCTTCATGGGATGTAACTACGTCAAACAGTAAGAGTCAGTGTGCTCTGCATGTTTGTCTCCATGGATTTTAAAGCCCCAAACGAACATTTTAGCTTGTTTGTGAAGAAAAGTTTCAGAAGTAGGCTGCTAGACAGTGAGTGGTTTTTGAAGTGTTTCTGCAGTGCTAGGGATTGAACCGTGGGGCCTTGCCTGTGTGAGGTAAGTGCTCTCTGCTACCAAGCTGCGTCCCAGCCCTTTTGTAGGTCTTTAAGAGTCAACAGTTTCCCAGCTGTGGTGGCACATGCCCTTAATTCCAGCAGTGTTGGAGGTCAGCCTGGTCTACATAGTGAGTTCCAGGACAGCCAGGGCCACATAATAGACCCTGTCTCAACAAAGCAAACTAAAGAGGCAGTCAACAGTTTTTGTTTCTTGTCTTTTTATTTTGTAAGTAAGCAATAGCTTATCCTAAGGTGCAAAAACAGCCACTTTCTAACGATGGCTAAAACCAGCCACTTTCTAGCGATGGCTTTGTCTGAGTGATTGCTCTGGAATGCGCTAGACCATTGTATATTTGGTTAGCGTAAGGAAAGCTGAAAAGGTAATGAGTCTTTGTAACATACTGAGACCCATCTGACAAGAGAGTGACAGGTAGAGATGACAGTGGCGCCTGTCACAGACAGGAGGAGTCTGGGTAGAACCTGAGCAGCCCATGGGGAGTGCTGGCCCGCGGGTTCTTCCTTCTGCGGATTCTTGTTTGCCATTTCTTTTTCTTTCCTATAGTCTGGGGAGCCAGGCTGCCGCCACTTTGAGGTTGACCTTACATTGCCCTCACTCCTGGCTGCAGAGTGCTCCCTTCAAAGTCTGGCTTACCCACAAGCCACCTTCCCTGAGCTTCTTATCACACCGTCCTGCAGAGACACGGCCGCCCTCCTCAGGCGCCCACTGGCTGCTGCTTACCTGTCTCCAGCCACTGCCTCCCAGTTCTTTCTTCAGGCGGGTTTATTTCCACCCCTTGGTCCACCCCCTGCAGCCCTCCTCTCATGAGCCCTGTCATTGTCTTGTGATTCATACTGTGGAAGGAGGGTCATCACATTGTCACTAAATCCATAAAGCTGTCCAGGTTTATTCCTGCTATCCTCCAGTTATGTATAACTATATTAACACATAATCATCTATAATAAAGTAAGTGTATTATCGGAGCATTGTTCTCTCTACCACACTTTCTTTTCTCCTAATAGATGGTCAATGTTGTACATCTTTAATGTAGAAAAATTAGAAAATGCCCCAGCAATTTTGGAACCCTTAAATTGTGTTAGTTTCTCTCTCTCTCTAAACTTTTTATTGATTTCTTGAGAGCTAAATGTCATACACTCCTGCTCATCTCCCTGTCTCTTCGTGTCCATCCACCCTTTGCCTGTACCCTCACTCCCCCAAAATTAAACACACACACCAACACCACCAACAAAACCTAAAGCAGAAAAAACATGGTGGAAGCTGTAGTGTGTCCCACTGTGTCCCACAGTGCCTCCCTCTGTCCACACATCTTCACTTGCAGACGTTCATTGCGATGAGTCAGCAGTGAGATGTCTGCTTTCTGTGATACCATCAGTATTGGCTCCTCCCCGTGACTCCTCCAAAGCATCCATTGCTGCCCTGTGTCGTGGAGATTCTGCAGCCCTGGACCAGCAGTGCCAGCTCCTTCACGGGTCCCAACCATTCACAGATGATATAGATTTCGGGGTGGGTCAGCTCAGAGCCTAGGCCTGGCTAGCAGCTGAGCCGGTCAGTGTGCTGGGTATTTCTTATCCGCACCACCAGGGTGAGCTCTCCAGCACTGATCTGCCTAGACCACCCAATGCTGCCATCAGCAGGAGGCAGGGGAAGCTCTCCTGCTCTCATGCCCACACTGGGCCCCTGTGCTGGGCAGCAGAGTGGAGCTGGGTCACCTACACTCACACCCCTAGAGCCAGCTCCACTCTGCTGCCCAGCATAGGGGCCCAGTCTCCCAAGCGCTGAGCCTGTGAGGGGCTGGGCCAGCTCTCCTGCTCTCATGTCCTCGAGCTGGCTCACCTACACTCACACCCCTAGAGCCAGCTCCACTGTGCTGCCCAGTCACAGCACAGGGGCCCAGTCTCCCAAGTGCTGAGCCTGTGAGGGGCTGGGCCAGCTCTCCTGCTTTCATCCCTTCGGGGTGGCCCACCATGCTTTCGACACCAGGGCCAGCTCCACTGTGCTGCCCAGGTGAGGTGCATGGTTCACTGTCATGACCCCGGGGCCACAGATTGTGAGGGTCGAGGTGGAGAATGGCATCTCACCCATGCCACCTCACAGTGGACAGGTGGCAAGGCTGGCTCACCTGCTCCCCATCGACCAATGCCAGCACTGCTTTCCTGCCCAGGCAAGACACAGGGCCTGCTCTACCTAGTGCTGCAACTGGAGAGGAGCAGGGCCAGCCCTCCCGAGCTCATGACCAGAGGTGGTGAGGGAGGAGAGCGTCACCTCCATGCCACTGCCACCCTACAGCAGACCAGTGACATTGGCTCTCCCACACTTAAGCCCTTGAGGCCGACTCACGCATTACCCCAACCCTGTCCCCCAACACTGTGCTGCCTGGGTGAGGCGCAGGGCTTGCTCTCCTGAGTGCTGCCAGCAGTGAAAGCTGGGGCCAGCTCTCCAGAGCACCACCAGAGGGGTAGAATTGGCTATGTACAGCCATGGGACATCTCTATGGTCCCTGGTGGCTGCCCTGATGTGGGAGTCCCCATGTTCTGTAGCACTAATATGAGCCACAGACCCAGACATGGCTCTGTAGCAGCTCAGGCCAAAACGTCCCATGACCCCAGGTGGCAGGGATGGCCACTCACAGCAGGCCCTAACCCTCCAGTCTGCAGTTCCATCTCTTTCTCCCCCATCTGACCACGACATGCTTGTTCATCGTGTGGCCCTGCTGCAGGAGGCATCGGCGCAGCAGGCCCCTGGGTGACGTCCTCGTCGGTGCAGCCTGGAGTGGTGGCAGGCGGTGTCGGTGCCCGCCTGTGCAGTGTGCTGGAGGCAGGTCTGGGGTGGCATGGCAGTCTGCACTCTGTCTCTTCCTCCTCCTGTGCTCTGCTGCCTGGATTTGGTTTGGCTTGGTTTTTATGAATCTTGAGCTTGAAACAGCTTTGTCCACCAGGCCAGGCATCCAGCCAGCCTATCTTTTCTTTTTCCCTCCTTCCTTTCTTTTTTTTAACTTTCCCCCAAACAACACACTATAACTGCCTTAGAGCCTTTACTTCTTAGTAATTATTAGGAACCACCTAGAGATGAATTAAACAGATGTGTAGTCTCTATAAGCACAAGGCCATTTGTTTATGTGTCAGATTTTGACATGGGAGAGAGGGAGGGTCCCTGAACTGGTTTCCACCCCCACTGTGGAGGGGCAAACTGCCTAATACATGTGGGTTACAAAAGGTTTCCAAAGACTTCATGTACCCCAAAAGCCTTACCAGAAGTCAGAGACAAAGCTGGTCGTGATGCTCTGTGCCTCCCTCTTGGAGATCAGGAGGCTGAATTGTCATGTGCTTGAAGCTAGTCTTGGCCAAATAGCCAAGCCATCCAAGACTGCAGAGTAAGACTGTATCTAAGGGAAAAAAAAAAAAAAAAAAACTGCAGACAGATGTTTCATTCCCACCACCACCCCTGAATGAGTGATATAAGACTCCGAGAGAAGTTAGCCATTTCAGTTGTGTAGGTCCTGGCTCCTGGCCTTCCAAACGTGCCACCACGCCCGAACACAGGGTAGCTCTGGTGGTAGAGATGCTTAGCTGTGAGCGAGGCACAGGTGCACCGACTTCTCAAGTCTTACCAAGCCACAACCTTGACTTGTTGACTTCTCATGTAGGTAAACTGTGCTTCTAGAAGGCTTAATTAGAAGATAAGAATATAGTGAAAACTCTGTACTTGATGTGCCCAATTCTGTAATGAAGTCGAGAGCCGCGACTGCGGAGTCTCTGTCTGTTTCTCAGGGTTGAGGAGGCTGCAGGAAAGCTCGACTTCCTAAGGCAGGTTCCTCTGGCTGTGCCGAGCGCGCACCAAGCGTGCACCGAGCCACACCCTGACCTGAGTACATCTGGGTTTGCTCTGTCAGGACAATTGTGGGCTTAAGTCCACACTCCACTCCCAGGTGAAAAGTCTGAGCAGGAAGTGCAGACGGTAGCTCACTGCTCAAGTGGACAGTCTCTGATTGCTTAATTGCTTATCTGAGAAAGCTGCTTAGATGAGTAAGTGGCAAGACGCCACCCTGAGCTGAGCCAGTTACAGCTTGGATGTGCTTGTGTCTGTTTGTCTTGTCACCTCTTACTCACACCCGTTCCCCTTTGCCTTCCTTCCCCGTGAGGCACCTGCGCTGTAATTGTCTTCTCTGGGTGGCTCCTCCTTAGCAGCGCACAAGAAGAATCAGCACTCACTGCTGCTTCACTCAACATCAGACACTTGTAAAACTGGAAAAAGACACTAATCTCAGACCACAAATTGCTTATAACGCTAGTTACAAACAAACGGCCAACCAGAGTCTCAACGGCAGGGGTTTATTCAGCAGTTTGCAGAACTGAGTCTTTGCTAAACCTCTTTGTGTGGGGTGTGTGCGTGGGGTGTGTGTGTGTGCGCACACACGTTTGCCATGGCACTGTGGGGAGGTCAAAGGACAGCTTCCTGCAACCTTCTGAGACAAGGACTGCCTGTGCCTTGCCGCTGCCCTGCTGCCTGCAGCTGACCGAGCCCCTGGGTGATCTCCGTCTCTGCTTCGTGTTTTTCTGGGGTAGCATTGGGATTGCGGCTGCTCACTACCGCGCCCAGCTTTTTGTGGGGTTTCAGGAGTGCAAAGGAAGGTTCAGGCTTGCATGACAAGCACTTTTACCCACTAAGCCTTCTCCCCAGCTCTGCTGGTTTGATGTTTTGAGAAAAGTGTTTCTGTAATCCAGGTTGACCTCATCCCCTGTACAGTAAGGCTTACTAGAATTCATCCTTAACCTGGACTGGGAGCTGGAAATGTGCGCCGAAGGAGCTATGGCCACACTGGGAAATGAGAGAGACAGATGTGCTCTGTAAACCTTGACTTACTGTAAGGGAGCAGGAGAACATGCGGAGCCACGGCTCTTGCCAAAGCCAAGTCAACATGCTAAGGACATGGGACTGTGAGTACAGCGGGGCAGTCTTGGAGCATTATAAAGAAGAAAGCTCTCTTCCTAGGCTGTAGACACCTTGAAGGCAGGTGCTAGCACAGGATGGGCAGCCATGAACATTTGTGGTTTGATTAAATGGAGGGATTCGTTACATGTGAGAAGAAGAGCAAGATTTGGGGCCAAGGACAAGGCTGGTAGAATTCTTGCCGAGGTGCCCCGGTTTGATTCCCAGCCACTTAAACTTGGCTTGGTGTCACGGCCTGCAGCCCCAGCACTCGGCGGCAAGGCGGAGAATCAGAAGTAGAGGGTCTTTCTCAGCCATGTGCAGATAGAAAGTTTGAAGCCAGCCTGGGCTACCTGAGACCCTGTCTCCAAACAACAAAATTTCAAACGTGGAAAACAGACTGTACGTGTCAGCGATAGCAGTAAACTGCGCCCGGCCCTGGCAGCTTCTGCTGTGCTGCTGTTTCAAGTGCTTTTTAACCATTGTTTGTTTTGATACAAGGGCTCATGTAGCACAGGCTACCCTTGAGCTTCTGTTCTCTAGCTTCTGCCTCGGGAGTGTGGAACTGCTGATGTGTCTCACTTGCCCAGCTCTGCTCTCTTGATTTTGTTTTGTTTTCGTTTTTCTGTTTTGTTTATTTGGTGTGAGCATGTGTGAGCATGTGTGAGCGTGTACACATCACACATGCAGTGGTACTTGTACAACACCCAGGAGTTTGTCCTGTCTTTCCGCCATTTGGATCCCA